ATGGTGAGGAAAGAGAAGTTTCGGAAATGGGTTGTCACAGAACTTGAAACAAAGCATCGTCACCCGTTGGGGATACCTGCTGGAAAGGGACGTCGAGCTGCAATTCAGGCAAGGCCACAGGTTAGCTCTGAAACTAATAGACTAATACCAACATCTGTAATTTTATACTAGGACATGACATTCTTTTCAACCATGCAATAATATGTGACTTTCAAATTTTATTCTTCCCACCCCCTTGCTCTTCTTGAGTGTAATAAATGTTTTTTCATTAAGTAGAGGATTATAGGTTATTGATGATGTTTGCTAGAAATCCTTTTACTTGTTTGTGTTGCTTATAATATAATTGAAAACGTTTTGAGATATTTTTTTTATTGAATAAACTAGAATTTCAAATCTGTGCTAACGATGTAATTGTTTTTGAAAAGCTTTGTAGCTTCTATTATGAGCTACTCCATTGTGTATAGTGTAAATCTATCTGAGGCATTAAACTGAATTCACCAAATGGCAGTTCAGTTGTTTGGAAATTACATATGTATGTGATTAATTTGTACACCACCGTAGTATCTGGAGGCAGTTCAGTCAGGCATAGTAAAATATAAAAGTTTACCATCTAAAAATAATGCTGAAAACACTCACAGAAATATAGGAGAGACTGAAAGATTAATCAAATGTAGTGAACATATCTAGATCTGCACATTTACAGATAATAACAGGGTCTATTTTATTGTGTCTTGCATGTCTCTTGCATGGTTCTAGCCATAGTTACTGGGAACGCGGTTTGTTTCAGTTTGTGGTACTAGTGCGAGACGTGATACGTTACTTAAGTTAATCGGTACGTTATATGGTATACTTGATTTTTTTTACATGGGACATAACATAGTAAATATAAAGTGTATATTTAATTATAATTTTTAATTTAAGTTATTTTTTTATTATTTTATTTTTTTCATGTACTATAATAAATATAAAGTCTACGTTAAATTATAATTTTTAATTTGAGTTATTTTGTTTTATTATTTTATTCTTTCATATACTTTTAATCAATATACTTAAAATTAATAAATATAAAAAATTTTGAATCATATTAAAATGAAAATTACAGGTGATATAATTGTTAAAAAAAGATAATATAAATTACTAGAAAAAATGGGTGGTGATGTGTTTTCAATTTTAGATGATTGTAAATTTAAAAGAAATAAAAAATAAAATGAAGAGGTGTCACAAGTCTTGAGCCACAACAGAAGCACCCGAGTAGTTTAATTACAATAGGAGAGGGGACTCAATTGAAAATCATAAAACTTAAGGGTACTGATTTGAAGGGGAAAAAAAGAGGGGCTTGATCCAGTTTAGATATTCCTTTTTCTTATTTTCTTTTCTTTCTTTTTTTTTTTTCTCTTCTTCTCCCCATATGCCTCTCACTCTTCCATATTCTTCTTCCCTTTTCTATTTTCCCCTTCATCTTCTACGCATGTCATAGCCGATCTGTTCTTGCGGCACCGATCAGTGTTGCTATCTACAAATTGAAACAGGAAAACAAGGGGAAGCTGGGGCCTCCCTTGTGGAGAGAGAAAGCGAAGAAGAAGAAAAATAAAAGTGTACTAGAGAGCATCTTGGGATGAATTGAAACAAAAATAAACTGCAATCTGGAGTGCACATCCCAGATCATGATTTAAGGGGGTGCTGAACGAATTTGGTAACTATGGCTCTGGCACAAATATATGATTAAAATAAATATCTGGTGAATTGAAGGTTATTAAGAGACTTTTTCAATGATCTTCTTAGGGAATGGACTCATGCTCAGGTGAAAAGGATATTCTTTTAGGTCTTGTTTTCTTTATTGAAATTTTTTCATCACAAAATCTTTCATATAATGTTGTGCTGGTGGAAAATTTTTTTAGTTATTTCTTAAGGTACCTAGTAAAAATTTTCATAACTAATTTTGTTGTTTCCTAATGGTATGAACAACATGCCAATGCCATTGCGTGTAAAAATCCTGGCCATCCAAAGAAAGCAAACAAAAAACCCAAATTCTGATTTATTTGCATCCAAAACAAAGAGCACTGAGAGATTTCAAAGAGTTTATATATATATATATATATATATATACACACTTTATGAATGACTGGTTGTAGCTATCATTGACTTCATGTTTTTAAAATCCTAATTTATTCCTCAAAAAATTTGTTCTTAGCATCTTTCTTCTGTATGTAAGATGAGAAGGATAAGAAAATTCGAGAGTTATTTGCAGAGCTTCACTGCACAAACCAAAAATTGGCCGAGTGCCGAAAGCAATTGGATCTGGTTTTGAAAGACTTGAAAAATCATACCAACCACCTTACAAATAGTATCCAAGAAATAGCTCAAAATATGAAAGAAGTTGAAGAAGAGGAAGAAGAGCAGTTATAGCAAAGTCAGCATGTAGGATTTTGGTAAATATCATTCATTTCTTTCCACTATTTGAAACATTTTGTCTACAATTCATAGATTTATGTGTATGCACATACGTTCATGGCAAGGGTAGCTGCGTTGTGGAGAAAAATGATGTTTTGGATCTGCACCACGCTGAGTGAGGAAATTCAGCCAAAACTGCATTAGAAACTGCATTAGAAGAACTTGGCACTGTACATGAATGTCGAATTGATGAGTGGAAAGAATGAATGATGGAGTAACTAAAATCCATTCTCTTTTACCTTTCACTTTATTTGGCCTCAACATAACATAGAATAGAAATTTTTTTTCATATATTGTATTTTTCCTTCTATTTCCCCTTATCTTTTATCCAGAAGAAAGACATTAGCATGCAAAAATTCCAATGGCCGAACTTAAGGTTTAACCATTTTATTAGTTATAATGTAGTCAATGTGGCTATTTATACAATATTCCTGTTCCTAATTCATCTCTATTCCTGACTTGCATCAAGCGGGTAGGGGTTCTTACACAAGCGATTATTGTCAAGCAGAAGCCAAATCCCTATCATTTGTGGCCTTGGATTGTCGTCCAATCCGTGATTCCGATTAGAAAAATTACCCACATGACAGAGGAGATTTTTGTCTTCTAGAAGTTGGGACCGGACGTTTGGAGTCTAAAGATTGAGCTTTTCTGTAGTCTTGGATTGGACTTTGGCGCTTCGGAAGTCTTGGCTGTCGAGATTGCCAGTAACTTACCACAATACCCTCGACATTGCTGTTTCAGATCCGGTGAGGGTCATGTTTTGCTGAAGTTTATACTACTACAGCCATTGGGGTTTTGATCTTGATTATGGCAGTTGCTGTCGCAACGTATGAATGTAGCTGTTGGTGAGCATTCCACCAATGGCGGTGTTGATGACGTTAGATGAGGGCTATTGATGTCCTGGATTGGACCCGATTTGAACCCAATGCACTTGGACGATCAGGTCCACGGATTCAATAATTCAAACCGGCAAGATTTTATCAGACTTGCTTGCGATTTAAATTTTAAAATAGAGAAAAATGAAAAAAATCTGGTAAACATTCTGGTTCAGATCGAATGTAGGTTTTCTTGCGTAAGATTATGTTTAAAAAGCAAGCGATTGTGAAGATGGGACTACAGCCTGTCTGGAAACCAGGAAAAGAAAAGTATATATGCACTTTGAATATTCGTATACACGCAGGGAGGGACAGCTCCAAGTTTGTCAAGCCACGGGAGAATTGTCTTGCGCTCTGAAAGCATTGCTTTGAAACGTATTACGGGTGGCCGGTGGCCGGTGTTTTTTTTTCAAGTCCAACCAGTCAATGAACCGAACTGCCTGCCTCCAACCTTGTTAATCAGTTTGAATTATGGGACACTTTTGTAAATGTTCCAGCGACCTTGTCAGTATCCTTTTCCGGCCTGGGATTTTTTATTATCACATCCAAACCCTTGCAACTTGGGATTTTTTTAGCCCACCATTTCAACTGTATATATGGTTGGTTAGTATATAAATAAAAATATTTAATTTTTTTAAGAAATTAGGTTTTATTTACTTCCAAATAATTTTATGTATTAGTGCAAGAAAATTGAAAATAAATATTTTTAACCATTTCTCTTTTTTTACTATATATTTTATTTGAATATTGAAAAAAATTTTAAAAAAACCAAAAATATTATTATCAAAAGCTGATTTTAAATTCTTTTTTTTTTTGAAAGAGATCCCTAAGCCTGCAAATTTTGAACGAGATTTTTGAACTTAATTTTCGAATTAGGTCTGTGAAATTGTTGGAACAAATTTTATCTGAAAATTTGAAAGTCAAATTTGGTTTAAATAGAATTTGATTTCATTATAATTGGATTCTCTTATGTCTTAAAAAAAAAAAAGAGAGAAAAAAAGGGAAGTAAGTTCTAGAAGAATAAACTTCTCTTATTGAGGTGTGTGTAAAAAATTGACGGAGGAATCGACTTTTTTTATTTAAAAAAATTCAAATTAGAAGTCGGTCCTATTACAACTAACTTTCTCCGGCATCAAATTTTAATAACATTTTAATAAATAATATCAGAAAATCACATTTAATGAATAAAAAATATTAATATAAAAAATTCCAAAATATCTGCATACCCCTCAAAGAAAAATAAAATATTAATAATTAATTAACCAAACGTACCTTTCAAAGGCAAAGAAAATTCAAAGAAGAAGACAGCCGGTATCTGGCGGCTGAACCTGGTCTGTGTTAGTTTTTCGTGAAAGGTTTCGCGTTAGAAAATATAAAATTAATTAATTACCCCGAAAAGGACGAAAGTTCCAAGATTCTTCGTCCTGTACCCCAATGTTGAATTGCTATCCAATTAGATCCACTTGGGAGCACGGAAATCTATCAAAATTATGAAAAAATAGGACCCACGGAAAATCTATCTTCTTCATAAATACACAGAACGGAGTGAGCACAGTCAATAGCTTCTCTCTTCTCTCTCTCAGGCGTTACGGATAAGAGATCAAACAAACCATGGCCTCCACAACCAACATCCACGTGACAGCTCTGGACGGCGTGGTGAACATGAATTCCTCTTCACCTTCGCCATCTTCGTCGGCCTCTCCTCCACCACCCCGGCGCCCAGAGCAGCCTAGAGGGCCCCACTGCGACGCCGCCCCGCCTTTGCCAAGCGCCTCTTTGTTTTCGAGGTCCTCTCCTTCAGCTGCTTCCTAACCTCTTCGCTCGTCGCCCTCGGCCTCAAGCTCGCCCTCGTCGTCCTCAACAGCAAGGAGCTGCACGACGCCGTTCAGGCGCCGATCAACGTCTGCATCCTTGGACTCGGGATGTTCATCTCCGGCGCCGGATCGTTGCTGGGATGCCTGTTCTTGGTGCTATCGATGGTCCAGTTCATTCAGATTCGGTTGGGGACCTTGTCCTGCGGAACTGCAGCTATCAAAATTTCCTTCTGGTTTTTGGTATTACCGGTTGGCATGGGTGTCATAATGTATGCATATACGACTTCGCAAGCGTACTGGCAAAAGGCTAAGCTCAGCAAACAAACACCTGCGAGCCAATAACCAAGAGAAGAATCTCCGAAGATTTGACGCTCGCCTCATTCGGTGTAATCTGTTTCTCCACCGTGTATGTGTCAATAATCTACGTTTTACTGTATATGTATAGATGATTTACGTTTCACTGTAGAAAAAAAAAAAGGAGAGTGCTGTGTCTAAAATTGTGTCAAATAAATCCAGAATATTCTACCAAGTTCAATTCTCTACTTGTATATCATTCTTTCAGTTTGTTAGAATTATTAATAATATACATGTAAAAATTAAAATAAATACTGTTCAAATAAGCCAATCACATAATTTCTTTTAGATTATAAATGTTTATTTACATTTAATAGGAGTCAAAATGAATTATTTAAGTAATTTATGTTATATTAATATATAATTACTGACATTATCAACTATGTTAATTGCTCTTTAAAATTGTGATTAATTTTTTAGTAAAATTTGAAAATAAACAATTAGAGAAAATTTGAAAAGAATGTGTTTTTTTATTCACGAAAACAAGATTATTCTCAGAGTGAGTTTCCTACTTTTCCCCCTCCTGCCCCTTTCCCATGGTCGATAGACGTTTACGTTTCCCTGCAAATCGACCAAAATGTCTACCTTTTATTAATAAAAAAGTCTTTTCAAAAGGACGGACGGGCTCTCAACAAGTGGAAGCAGCGGCCTCTTATTACAATCTGTATATAGTTCTAAAACTTAAAAAATAAAATAAAAATAATAAAAATTCTTGTAATAAATAATACGGTAAAAAAATTATTTTTTTAAAATTTATTTAAAAATATTTAATTCTATTTTTATTAAAAAAAGTACTTTATTTTTTGATTGACTATTAATTAACAGTTATTTAATAATTTTATTTTAAAAAATTTAGCATAACTCACTTTCACCTATTTAAATTATCTATTTAATTAAAAATTAAAATATTATTTATTTTACTTAAAAAATTATATTTTTAATTCTTAATTTTTTAATTAAATATTTTTAGAAAGCTAAACTTTTGATAACATAATTTTACTATTTTTAAAATTTTTATTTTATAATATTTTTAATTTTATTTAACTTTCTAAAATTTGAAGGATAATAAGCTTTTTTTAACTTACATGACATAATGATTTTGATTTTAACATTTAAAATATAAATATAAATATAACAAAATAAAAATTATTTAATATTAAAAATAATAAAATTAAATTATCAAAAGTTGGATTTCTTTAAAAATATAAGATTTTTAAAAAGTAAGTTAATTAAATAATATTTTAATTTTATACACATGAATAATTAAAATATGTTAATTAAGTTATTTTTATATTTTTTTAATAAATTTATTAACTAATTATTAGTTATAACAGCTAATTAAAGAAAGAAAGTATATTTTCATGATAAGAACGTGAATAAGTACTATTTAAATAAATTTGAAAGTATATGAGTATTTTTTATTTAAAATGATAATGTAAAAGGCATTTTAAAAGTCAAAGGAAGAGTTTTTAGGTTTTTTTAAGTCCTAAAATTAATTTATAAAAAAATAATTTTAAAACAGAAAAGCCCATTAATATATTCGTCTAACTTACTTTTGTTTGACATTTCCTTATTATTATTATTATTATTATTATTATATTACTATTATTATTATTATTATATGGTAGGTAAAGGTTAAGGGGAAGAGAAAGAGAGGGGAGAGAGGGGCTTAGACAAGTGCAGTTGACCCTGGTGTGCATCTACTGAGGCAACGCGCCGGGGCAATTGGATCGAGCCCCTGCATGGTCTGCAGGGTGCCTAGACAAGTGCCCATGTCAGCACCCCTTTAGTTTCTTATTCACGTCAGTGTCCATCTTTACTTTCTGCCATAATTTAGTTAGTTAAGAAATAAATGATGGGCTGGTATGATAAAGGAATTTGTTAACTTTAAATATGGTTTAAAATATTGGAGGACTATTTTAACGACTGGTTAATTTTTAAGGATTATTTTAATTATTTACTATCCTATTAAGGTTTACTTTTGTTTGACATTTTTTTTTGTTATTATTATTATTATTATTAAGCTAATCGGAATTCAATGCCTCTCTTTCCAGTTTGACATTTCATAGCAAGAACTTGACAATTGTTTTAATCTTTGGAGCCCCGGATGCAGGCCCCGCACCTCCATCTCCTGCAATATTTTAAAAATTACACCGGTAATTGAACGGGTGATTTTACTAGTTATATATTTAATCAGTAGTATCAGTTAAATCATTAATTTAATTAGTATAATATTATAAATATATTTAATTTAAATATATATTTATATATTATTATAAATATATAAAAAATAAAAATAGGATAAAAATGTAAAATTTAACTAGTTAGTTATAAATTTTATATCCAAAAGTCAGAAAAAGCAAATTTGGCCGAATCATAACTTAATTGAATAAATCATAATTTAAAAGAAAAAATGAAATGTCGAATAATAATACTCTAAAGACTCAAAAATAAAAATAATTTTTTCAAATGACTAAAATAAAAATTCTTTTAATCAAAATTTCATATCTTTGATTGTAAACTTTAACTTTTCTATCTCTTTTTTTTCATTTATTTTTCTTTCTTTCTTCCTTTAGTGCAGGCACATGAGTTTCTAATTTTTCATTTTCATTTCTTCTTTTTCTTTTTCCACGGTGGTATCCTAGAAATTAAAAACCTTCTTACTGTGCTTCAGAATGTCACCTTTAGTCCAAAAATTTCAAAAGTCCCTGCAAACAAAGAAAAAGAGAAAAAGAAAAAATTTGTCAAACAAATAAATCAATTTTTTAAAAAATTTTTTCAGTTTTTGATAGATTTTCAACTGTTTAAAATATTAATAATTTTTTTTTATTCAATCAGACCAATTCTTAATTGAATTAGTTGATCTAGTCTGATTTTCAATACACTGCCCCTTGCAAGCCTCGACCGCTCCTTGCAAGCCTCGACCCCCCTGTAACAGCCCCAATCCCTCTTGTGCTAGCCCAGTGTGAGCACCCCACTTATACAGGCCCTACGCCAACACCCTCCCAACCCCCGCAACGTACGAACCTTATGTGAAAGCCCTATGCAAACACCCACTCCACCCCCGCACAAGCCCTTCCTGCGTGAACCTCCCTCCCCAACCAAAAAAAAAAAAAGAAAAGAAAAACCTGGCTTGCAACCCTGTACTATAATTTTTTAAAATTTTTTATAATTACATTCTTGTAATTTTACAAATTTAGGTTTATAGAAATAGATTTAAAATATAACAAAAACATACTTATAATATTGTAGATTTATGCATATAATTTTATAATTTTATACTTGTAATTTGGCTAAGAAAAAATATAGAAAGTTATTTTCAAAAATCAAATTTCATTATGAGTCAATATTTATTGTTTTAAACCTTGCTAGCAGTAAATTTCAAAAATATCCTCTGGATAATAAATTTTATCGAACCGGCCAACTTGATAATTTCCTTTTGGGTAATAAATTTCAAAAATATCCTCTGGATAATAAATTTGTTGAATCGACCAGCTGGATAATTTTCTCAAAGAAATGCAAAGAACAAGGGAGTTGATATCTCAGCGGCTGTACTTGGTCTATCTTAAGTGGTATTTGTAAATGTTTTTGTAAAGTTATAAGTGGGTACTTTAAATAAAAATGGATAGAAATTGATTTTAATTAGAATTATGATGTATTTACAAAACAAGTAAAAAAACTCTCAAAATAATAAAATACTATTTTGTAAATAAGTTTTTATAAACGACAGTGAAGAAATTTTTATTTTAAAAAGACTAGATTGCCCTCGATTTTTATTTTTTCTTTTTTTTTTTTTTTTCTATTTTCCTTTCTCTATTCTCTCATAGAGCTTTTGCAACAAGCTTTGTCGGGCATTGGTTGCAAAGGGCAACAAATGGAAGATCGAAAAGGATGAATTTGGGATTGAAGACCACCCTCCATCTTTCAATCATCTTCAGTCCACCTTCGTTCTTAACTCACTGACCAACTCCTAGATTCATCACAACCTTCAACGGTTTGGCAGAAAGAAAACTGGGCATGCTACGGTTGTCAATGATTGATAAGTTCAGTTGGGGTTGAGGAAGATGCCAAAGAGGGGCGCGCGCTAGCAAGATGGACAAAAGAAGAAGTGAGTAAAAGAGTGAGTGAGTGAAAGAGAATAGACCGACGAAGAAATAGGAGAGGTGGAGAGAGAGAGAGAGAGAGAGAGAGTGAGTGAAAGAGAGCACAAGGTGGGAATTCCTGTACCATAGCAGTTGGCAAGGGTCAATAATTGCGCTGGTTGGAGTCCATCGCAAGGTTTAGAGCTTGGGTGGAGGTGAGAAAGATGCTTAAGAGAGACGCATGTTGACAAGACAGTAGAAAGGAGAAATTTCGAGAATAATTTAATTATATTGTAATACATTTAAGAACGAAAATGTCTAAAAAATTTAAAATAACTTTTATTTATTTAAAAAATAACATTTACCATGAAAGCGAGCACCCCTCCCCAGTTTTAAAAATCTGTTTCTACTTCAATTTTGTTAACCTAAAAATGAAAAATAAAATCTAAAATCAGCGATCTAGACCCCTTAAAATCACTCCTGCGCCTCGAACTGTGCACAACAATTTTCACAGGTGGGCGCACACACGTATTCGTGCTTCACGTTAAACACTACAAAATAA